GGAATGGAGGACATGGGACAAGGATGGAGACTCTTGGGACAGGGATGAAGGACATGGGACAGGGATGGAGACACCCTGGACAGGGATGGAGACTTTTGGGACAGGGATGAAGGACATGGGACAGGGGATGGAGGACACAGGACAGGGAATGGAGACTCTTGGGACAGGGATGGAGGATATGGGACATGGATGGAGACTCTTGGGACAGAGATGGAGGACATGGGACAGGGATGGAGACTCTTGGGACAAGGATGGAGGACATGGGACAGGGATGGAGACACCCTGGGCAGGGATGGAGACTCCTGGGACAGAGATGGCGGACATGGGACAGGGATGGAGACTCTTGGGACAGAGATGGAGGACATGGGACAGGGATGGAGACTCTTGGGACAGGGATGAAGGACATGGAACAGGGATGGAGACACGTGGGATGGGGATGGAGACACATGGGACAGGGATGGAGGACATGGGACAGGGATGGAGACTCTTGGGACAGGGATGGAGGGCATGGGACAAGGATGGAGGGCATGGGACAGGGATGGAGGACAGAGGACATGGGACAGGAGATGGAGGACATGGGACAGGGGATGGAGGACATGGGACAGGGGATGGAGGACATAGGACAGGGGATGGAGGACATGGGACAGGGATGGAGACAGCCTGGACAGGGATGGAGACTCCTGGGACAGAGATGGAGGACACGGGACAGGGGATAGAGGACATGGGACAGGGATGGAGGACACAGGACATGGATGGAGGACAGAGGACATGGGACAGGGATGGAGACTCTTGGGACCAGGGATGGAGGACACAGGACATGGGATGGAGGACATGGGACAGGGATGGAGACTCTTGGGACCAGGGATGGAGGACACAGGACATGGGATGGAGGACATGGGACAGGGATGGAGCCATGGGATGGGAGATGGAGACTCCTGGGACAGGGATGGAGGACATGGGACAGGGAATGGAGGACATGGGAGAGGGATGGAGGCACCCTGGACAGGAATGGAGGACAGAGGACGTGGGACAGGGATGGAGCCATGGGATGGGAGATGGAGACTCCTGGGACAGGGATGGAGCCATGGGATGGGAGATGGAGACTCCTGGGACAGGGATGGAGACTCTTGGAACAGGGATGGCGGACAGAGGACATGGGACAGGGAATGGAGGACATGGGACAAGGATGGAGGACATGGGCAACGGATGAAGACACGTGGGACAGGGATGGAGACATGTGGGACAGGGATGGAGGACGTGGGACAGGGGATGGAGGACATGGGACAGGGATGGAGACACCCTGGACAGGGATGGAGACACGTGGGACAGAGATGGAGGACACGGGACATGGATGGAGGACAGAAGACATGGGACAGGGATAGAGACTCTTGGGACAGGGATGGAGGACAGAGGACATGGGACAAGGATGGAGACTCCTGGGACAAGGCTGGAGGACAAGGCTGGGGAGACTCGGAACAGGGATGGAGGCCACCAGACAGGGAGGGAGACACCCCACACGGGACCACGGGCTCCAGGTGATGGCAAGAGCCATGTCCCCCCCTGGGGGAGCCCCCTGCGACCCCTCCCCGCCC